AAAGGGCGACCGCCTTCGTCCTGGGGCAGATATTACATACATATTCTTCAGTGATTTGTTGACCAGAATATCAAGAATTGTGTTCTTTTTCTTCGTTACAATTACAAGCTTGCAAGATAATGCAAAACAAACACAAGGACAAATGAAGAAGTCGTCGCACAAATGCAACGAAATGGAGTATAGCCTGCCTCAATGACAGTGTCTTTGGCTTTTCAACATTTGTAACTGTTTAATGATAATTATCACATCGGCGCTGCTTGGGATGTCTTTGCTCGACGTACAAAAAAGTTACTGAGCATGGTCTGCATACTGTTTGTCTCAGCGACATTGTCTCCGGTTCGTGCGGCCGCTTGGCTTTACGCTGCGTTCGTGAATATTTTTTGAGCACTTTCCTACGCCTGCCAACCTTCACTTGTTGCTTTGCGTGAAAAAAATAAGACTGCGAACGCTGCGCAAGGCCCAAGCGAGCCGCACGAACCGGAGACAATGTCGCTGAGACAAAGAGTATGCACACCATACTCAACAACTTTTCTTGTACGTAAAGCAAAGGCATCTCAAGCAGCGCCGTCGTGGTATTTACTAGTTAAACAATAACAAATATCGAAATAAACAAAGAACTACTGATTACAATATTTCAAACCTCACAAACCTTCCAACAAATCTAAATCAGCCTTCAAAAAGTGCTCGCCCATGGTCTTCTCCACTAATGGCCAACTTTCTCGAATATACTTCTCCCGGTATTTGGGAAACAAGCAAGAGAACGACGATTCGGCAACTAATCCGGTTGGATTGTCTTCCTATAAAAGAATGCACACATTCACTGGCACAAAGAACATTTACGGAGACAGTAGTAATTCATAGGTAGGCCTACCTTACTGAATGTAGAAATATCCCACCAATGTGGATCTTTTCTGGCACCGAAAGTACTAGCAGTCGACTTTCGATCGGAACGTTCTTCCTCCTCATCAGCCCATTCCGGCTCAAATTCACTTCTTTCGCCAGCTTCTGGCATCTGAAGTTGGGACAACTATTCAGCTACTTTGAATTTTGCAGAATCAAGGCACAAATTGATATGCATTTGCAAAGTCTCGCTTGCAAGCGATGTGCAAAGCTAGGGAAAAATAGAAAAGAGAAAAGAAAGATTCTCAAGCAAATGAGTATTCCACGCTCGAGTGCATGTTTTTGCTCGAATAAGAATTCGCAGTGGAGCAGCCAGCACCAACAGAGCACAGCCATCCATTTGGTATTTCGGTGAACTTTTTGTCGAATAGTTTTCAGATTCATGTGAATTATTTTTGTTTTT